GAGTATATTGCAGTGTGTGGGAAGATGGTGGCTGGTGAAGGTTGATTCCATTCTGGAGCTTGATTCCATTCTGGATTGTACCTGATAGTCATAGGTTAATCCCAGGTAATTCAGAGTCCATCATGGGACAATGGTCATGGCCATATCTGATGTTTCTGTTGGAGGAGTGGCTGTGTGATCTGAAACTGGGGGAGTTCTTGTTTTCTCTCCTCATGCTTAGCCATGGGTTTTTTTTAATGCCATTATGCACTATAGGGAGATGCACCCATTAAATCAGGTTCTAGGACTGTGTTGTCTATGGTTCTGGATGGGGTGGTACTGCCCTAGACAAACATGGTATGCAATCTGGGGCTCCTCCTAGACTCACAACTTCACTCCTGAGCAGGTGGAAGTCATGTTAGGAGGGCCTTTGCACAGCTCTGTGCACCAGTTGCACCATTTCCTGGATTGGAAGGGTCTTCTCACAGTTTTATGCTCTAGTTATCTTCACCCTGGACAATTATAATGTACTTTACATAGGGCTACTTTTGAGGGAGTGTCCATGAGCTTCAACTGGTGCAGAATGTAGCAGTGCAGGTTGTATGCTCTGCAAATTGGCTGCCAGTCTGCTTCCAGGTCCAATTCAAGGTGCTGGTTTTAACCTTTAAAATCCTTGAGGGCATGTAACCAGGTTGTCTGGTTACAACCTGGTTACATGTCACTCTCCAATTACATCAGCCTATCCTTAAAAACCTCTAGTTAAGGAGCACTCACAATTTCTGGAGGCAAGCCATTCCACTGATTAATTGTTCTCAAATATCATACAAGACTGGATTTACTTTGCCTTTTGCTATATTTCTGTTGTTGTTTTAAGTTTTAAGCATAATCTAGCTAAATTTTAGGGAAAGAGAATTTTCTACTCATAAGTAAACAACAATGTGTGTCTTAATCTCACAATGTATTTCTTACAGTGTGTTCCATCATTATGTTTGTGCAGAGCAAAGATCAACTGGACAAATAAACATCATCCTGGAAAAACTAATATTACTTCCCTATATGATATAGTGGAAGAATTTGCTTAGATCTATTTGTCCTTGAAATACCAAAAAAATCAATTTCCTAATTCCTTATACTATTTTGAACAAGTAATACCAAGCTTGGAAATAGAATCTTGAAGTTCTAGGCTCAGGTCTTCCTGAAAACCCAAAATCCCAGCCTCCTTACTATTCAGCTGTTTCTGATCCACAGAGGAAAAGAAAAAGAAAGAGAAATTACTCACTTGTAACTGCTGTACTTTCTGATGTCTTTCCCCTTTTCCCACCTAGAGGGACAGATGCATTTGCAACCAGAAGCCTCTTCCCAACAGAAAACTGTTGTGGTTGTCTCCTAAACACGGGACTGATATGCATGGTGACCCACAATTGGAAATAATCAAAGATTGCAGAGTTGCTAAAACCTCCTTTGTAAACTGCAATTTAGAATCAGTGTTTTTGGATAGTTTTCTGAGACCGATGGAAAGACATGACAATGAATGTCTGGGGAAAGGGCTGAGAATGGATTGAGATTATCTTAAAGAACATCAGCTACAAGTGAACAAGCTTTTCTCCTTCAAGATGTCCTGTCCATTCCTAATGGGATGCAGGAAATGAGAACAGCAATCTCTCTTCCAAAATGGCAATTTCATGGGTAAACATAATGAAAAAGACAGCATATGACAGAACGTTACAACTATATTAAAAATGTAATACAGAATGGTAGAATAAGTTAATAAGGTAAAGGCAGAAGAGAGAGATTATTGCATTATCTATACCTAATCTCTTCTATATTGCATTTCAGTCTTTCAGTAGCACATCCTAAAATAAAAATATTGACTTCTTTTCAGGAACAAAGGACTAAGATTTCTATAGCTGAGAAAGGATTGTCATATCTCCAGAGGTTTCTGTTGCATTGCTTGCTTGTTTGGGGAATTGTTCTAGGGCAGTGATGGCGAACCTTTTCGGCACCAAGTGCTGAAAAGGGAGCGCGCACATGCGTCTGGGTCGCAACCCGGAAGAGGAGCTGCCCAGGGCACATGCATGCCCCCGAAATGAACTTCTGGTTTCAGCTACTGAACTTCCAGTTTCAGCCAGCTACTCTTCCGGGTTTCTGGCACGCATGCCAGTGCACATGCTCACGCAGGAAAACGGAAGACCAGCTAGAAGATCTTCTAATTTCCGGCACTGCCACATCAAAAAGGCCAGCTGATCGTCATGCGCGCATGCGCACCAGAAACCCGGAAGAGGAACGGGCGATGCCGGGCATGCCAGGCGACATGGCTCCGCGTGCCACTTCGGCCACACGTGCCATAGGTTCACCATCACGGTTCTAGGGTAATAGATTTACAATTCTTTCATAAATGTTAGTAAGCATATAATGCAGAGTCATAACTATCTCTTTTTCACAGCTGAACTTTGCAACCCAACATTTAATTTAATTCTGTTTTATGTTAGGACCACTAAAATATTAACTATAATTTGCTGTGCAGAATTCATCAAATTAACTTAACACCATACCAGTAACTCTAAATTATTTTTTTCCTGAGATATTCAACATTGTGTCAAAAAAAACCTGTTAACTAGTATAATTTCACACTCCATTTTAAACTTACATGGCAGTCTTTTTAATATTCATGTTATCATCTTCATCTTCATCTTCGATGAGATTATCACGCTAAACCTATAATTTTATAACGGATTATTCTCTTTTGCAGTTACATAATGGTTACTTATAGAATAGCTTATGATTATTGATTTAGAATAGGCACACTATCCATCCTAAACTTACCTGAAGAAAATGTTCAAATAAAATTTATAAGTCTTGTTGTCCCTGTTAGAATGATGTTTGGTACTTATATGTTAGGAGTTCTGAAGCATTTTCTTTGTATTAAAGTCATAGTAATAAGGAAGGTAATTAGTTGGAAGAACTCCATCTATAGATTCACCGCATAGAATTATTTTGGGAGCTGATGTTTAATGGTCATGTCATATCTATTATGCTATCAGTTCACCAAATGAAGGCAATGTAAGCCAAGTATCAACTGCAGAGTTTACACATATAATAGAGGGAACAAAAACTCAGTGCTGCATCTTTGTTTTCTTTGGCAGTCTTCCATGTCCCAAACTTGTTACAGAAACCAAGGGAAACTTTCATTATATCTAAATGTTCTCACTTCTGCCTTTGGAGCAGGGCTGTCAAACTCATGACTCGCAGGCCAGATGTGTCATGCGCTGGCCACACCCATGCCTAGTTTAGCAAAGGGGAAAAAAGTCCCAATATGTCACGTGATGACATTGTGACGATGCGAGTTTGACACCCCTGCTCTAGAGTTATTGCGGTGAAGAAAAAACCAGTAGACAGTACAGTGAAGGGTTGTGAAAGGCCTGGCTAAATGTACTTCTGATTCCTCAACTACAAATGCGCAGCTAATCATCTTGCACAAGAAAGAAAGGCAAATGTTCTACGATTCAGGATGTATTAGAAACATGTGAGAAGAGCGAATAGGTTTTGTTTCAGGTATTAACTTTTTCTTCTCCAAATTAAAATAGAGAAAATGGTAAGAACTGACGGGGGCATCTAAGGGACACAAATAAACAAAACAAGATCTTATGCCATTTTAAAATTGAAGTGATATATAGCAAAATCATATGGATATCCACTGAAAAAGAATTTCCAATGGAATTAATGGGGTAATTTTTGGAAAATTTTTGGATTTAGCATATCGTATAACTGTCCAGATATGTGATTGAGATACTACTGACAACTGTGTTTAAGATGTGTATGATGAAGTAGATTTTGGACTATAAAATCTTTTAAGATGCCACAGACTGGTCACTAGTAAAGTTATTCATAAGGGGAGGAAAATCTGGCTGGTGCAATTACTGGTTTCTTCATGCCTTCTAAGGTAGAAAGTTGAAGGAGGAATAGAACCTGGGTTAGAATACCTGAAGTATTGTGGGATGATATGGAGCTATGCAAATTAGGCTCAATAAACAAAATAAAAATCTGATCTATCTTAGAAGCTCCCTTTCCTAACAGAAACATTCCATTAAACCACGGTAGCCACAGAAAATTCATTTGCCATTAAGCTAGGGGGTTTAGAGAACTATTTAGTGACTACTGAAACTAGCATGGTCGACCACAGAGGCAGGAATTGAATAATGAGCATGGTTAAAAGCAGAGATAATGGAAGAGGGAAGGAACAGAGAATAAAAGAGTAATTGATGAGAAAGCCTAATGTAGACATAAGGACAACAGAATCATGGACTGGAGAGAAAGATGTGCCCGTATAGCACAATGTAGCAATGAGGAAAGTCACCATGTGGGCTTCAGGTTGAAAGAGTAGAAAAGAAAAGTGTGTGTAAGACTAGATGGACACATAAAATTGGCAGCTTGCTACTTTGAGAAGCCCAGGGGAAGGGAACTGGAGGCAGCGAGCGCATAGAACCAGGAGTCCAGGCTGCAGTACATACACTGAGATTATTCCCTCGCGGTCGCGCCTTCCTCCTCTGTCGCAGCCATACAAGACGGTGCACACAGAAACGGGAAAGAAAGAGAGAGAAGGAAATAAATATAAAAGCATAGGGAAGTATAGGACCAAGGGGAAGGGAGGAGAAACTAGAATATAGTACTGTAAAGGGGGGGGGGGGGGGGGGGGGAGTGTAAGGAAAGAATAGTCAAGTTAATGTCATATTTATGCATAAACCAGTCTAGCCCAGTGCCGAAAAGCTCATCTCCTCCTTTGATTACTTCAACCAAAACTGACAAAGTTAGACATCACCACAAAGGGACAGGCAGTCTCAGAAGGGATGAGTTGAGTAATGCTGAGCTGAGCAGAGCAGCAGAGATAACAGCAAGGCCCCATATCTTCCCCCAAACATGCCGCAACAAGCCCCAGCCATTGGAACCGTCAGCCACCGTTAAAAGCTGCAACATTATGCACAAACCAAACATGGACAAATACTCCAGCCCACAGTTTTTGAATTTTCCCATTTCTTCTATTTCAGTGTTTCCAGTCCAACCCAAGAGAAGCAGATTCTTGCTTCAGAAACTACAGAAAATCTGTAAGTAGGGGTTGATCAGTGGAAAAAAGAAGAACATTTATAAAATCAGAAACAGAAAGATGTTGAGAAATTAAAGATAGGAAAACCCATTGCTTATATACTATTTGTTTGGATTTGAAATATTATTTATATCCTGTCAAAATATTGATAGATTGATGAAAGAGCTATTGTTTGGTGGAAGGAACTAATAAGTAAAATATGAATGATTATACTGCCTGGTTTATCTAGTAGGCAAGGTTGGCAGAGTCTGCTCCCATGGGTGTTTTTTGAAGGATCCAATTCTTGAATTGTGTCTAACCAATAGAAAGGCTGTTTTATTTGTCGGAACTGTATAAATAACCATTTTCCTTTGAAAGGTTATATAAAGCAGCACCAGCATAACTCTTCCTCCAAAAAGGAGAAATAAAGATATGTATGCATTTGCATGTATACATGGATAAGTGTATATAGATGCAGATTTGAATACTATTAGGTATTATAGCATAATTTGAAAAAAAAAAAAGACTTGCCATGGTAGAAAAAGACTGTGATCTAGTGATTCCTGAACATGCTGTTTTAACCAAAACAGTCTTTCACCGTACAAGCATGAGGTGATGGTGATATAAAATAGGAAATTAAGAAAGAGACTTCTTCCAGATGGTCACAAACTGAGAAAATAGCAAACAAATGCTTTTATTTTCTTCATTGGTAACTGCATTTTAATTAATCACCCCTATTTCTGTCACTATTATTAGTTTGACCAGTAGTAGTACCCTCACAAATATTTCCACTAAGTGGATTTTTCAGAGTGCTTTATTTGAATATCTAGAGTAGTAAAATAGAAGATTTCAGGGAGATGAATTAAACTTCCCTGAGTGAAAACTGTTATACTGAATGTAGGAAGACTTGAAGCTCATTGTGAAATTTATGGTGACTATAGCAACAAAATTAAAGAAACCTGCCCTTGTCATATAAAGTATTAAGATGGCATCATCCTAACAAGCCAAAGACAAAATGATACTTTAGAGCAAATTAAGACTGTTAAAAGAGTGTAGCCTCTTGCAGGTGTATCTGTAAATCAATCAATCTATCTATCTATCTATCTATCTATCTATCTATCTATCTATCTATCTATCTATCTATCTAATGTCTATACTGCCCATATTACCTGCATGGCTCTGAGCAATTCTTAAAAGAAATAGCTCTGTTGTAAAACTTCCTAATATAGTTTGAATTATTTCAAAGTGTTACAAAAAATGAAGTGATGAAGAACATATACAAGAGCTTGAGTTTTCCAGTCTCTACTATTTTTCTGAGTTAGAAATAGTGAAAGAAGTATTTCAAAACTATCTCCTTGTCTGTTGGATTGTGTTTCAGAGGGCACTGAAGTAAGTCCAGCTGCAAACTGTATATGCAATGTGATTAGTATCTTCAGTGGAATATTTCAAAAGTTACTCTATTTAGAACAGAAAAGTAATGTAGAATTATTCATGCCTTTCTCTGAGGAGAATTTGTAAATGCAGTCACTAAAGACACTCCCTGGGGTAAAGGTTGAAGTTAATAAATTAAATAAGATAGTAATAGAATCTAAAACTGTATTCATTTGATTAGCATCAGCCGTTTCAAGATAGTTTTTGTATGGGTATTGTTTACAAAGTGTCAATTCAACAGAACTACATGATGAGTCAACCCTCAATTATATGTTGGATAAGTATTTACCAGCAGTAACTATTTGATTTCCTTTAATTCTTACAAAAAAACCCCAAAGAACAATAGCAACAACAAAAATTCTATAGCACTGTCCAGGACTCATCTCAGCCAGAGAAAAAATAGGGCTGTCATGGAGTTCTTATGGTTCCTTGAAGCCATGATGTAAGAGAAAAGGCAACACCACCAAATGATCAAGAGTTCTAATGATATCATTGGGCAAGGAAAAAAGGAACATGCATGTGTAATTAAGGAAACAGAATTACCAAACTTGAGAAGACCAAATATAGGCAGCGTGGTGATGTGGTAGTTATCACAGAGTATTACATTTGCTTAGAAATACTATGACCTTCTCTGAGATGTCTTGGCTGAGCCTTACTTTGAGCTGTCACTGTGAAACATTTAATATTCATCTTCTGTCCCCTTAATGCTCTCTGTCTCCGAGATTTAGTGATGTGAAGCAAAGCTCTTTGAAAAGAGCAAGGGAGAATCAATACTATTTGCTGCCTTCCCTACAAACAGGACCTATTATTTTGCACCGCAGTCCCCATGATTAGGCTGTGTAGAAAGCAACACTTTCCTCTAGGAACTGGTTAGACTACTGATGGATCAGATTACATTGCAGGCACTATTAATCCAGTACTAGTACTGAATCAAAGTGTTAAGATTTTCTCCTATATTTTCTTAATATGCAGTATTACAATATTATTGATGAGGTACCCTCTGCTGAGAATACTGAAAATCAAATGCTAGTCTAAATTAAAATGCAGTTTGTCCAAGATAGCTTTCTTTTGTCAAGAGATCATCATGGTGGGAACCTTTAACAGTCTAGTACAAATCAAAGGCAACTGCAGGAGTGGGTAAACAATGAAGCAAGTGCATGCCATTGTGACACAAACTCCCTTCCTTTAGAATCGGTGTTGTGATGTCACAAGCACATATGTAAGGAGAGGAGCTTGCATGGCAACATTGTGACGCTCATTTTGTTATTTTGAAGGCTGCTGAATTCTGTGAACACTTTGATACATATCAGATGAACTTGGCAGTGGTTCCTATTATATTCAGCCAGTATCAATGACTACTATATGATGACTAGAGATTGCAGATTCCAACATATCTATCAAGTTGGGAAAGACTGTTAATATGATCATTATATCTGCACTATAAAGGCAATGCCACTGTTTTGTAGTTAGGCTGCCATAGCTGACGTTTTCACCAAATTCTGACTCTTTGAGATACTTGCAAATTAAGATGTAGTCCCTCCTGCAGGAAGCAAGAAGTATAGTTGTGCAAGAAATGTTGCAGATGGTACACTTACTTTGAGCAATTTCTTCAAATAACAGTATGCCCAAGCTCTCACTTGCACACATATACACAGAAACATAAAGATGCTTAGCCTGTTGGTATAACAGTAAATGCTTCTACATAGCAGAGCATGCTAAGAGCGACTGCTGCTTGGCACATGCTTAGCAAAAGAGCCCCCATACTCAAGCTCGTTGTTTCACCCTCCCCACCCTCAATCTAGCACAACACTGATTGCTGAGATTGCATCAGAACCTATAAAGTTTGCAACTATAACACATGCTGCATGCCAGATCAGGAAGAGAACATTGTTAGCTGGACAATAGCTGCTGAAGGTCAGAGCCTTTACTCTGATAGGAGCTGTGCTGTGACAGGCCATATCCAGGTAGCTTCCCAAACTTGATAGCTTTTTGACAGCTTTAGCTTTTTCCTCCACTCACCATTAAAGATGCAGAGAGAGGGAACATGACTAGCATAACAAAACAACCCTCTACAAACCAATAGAATAAAATAAATTTCTAGTTTGCTCACAGTACCATTAGAGTAGAATTTGTGCATCCAACCAAGGATGCCAAAGGTAACAAAAATGATTATTACCATCATAGGACAGCAGCGGAGCAGGTATATGAGCCAAGGGAAACGTAATTTGCAGTCCCCAAGTATTGTAGAATGCTCCATTGGACATTACATAAAAGTAAAAGAAGGCAGCCCATAAGGGCGCTTGTGAGAGAATTGGAGAAAGGAGTACTGTGAATGCTGTCTTGGCTCCTGAATTGAAGGCAGGAGATAAGTCTAATAAATAAATAAATATCTAAACTCCTTTATTCTTCTTATGACAGAAATTTAGCATTTTTTTCACCTTGGATCACACTCATATGTGATATCTTGAAGTAAGATTTGTTTATTTATTTTGTTAAGTTAGTAATTTTTTTAAAAAAACATTTCTTAAGAAACACAGCTTGCCTGCATCATTTACTGTTTTAATTCTTGGCTACAACATGAGCTTAGTTTGTTACTAGAGAACTTACATATGTGGTTTGGAATAAATGTTACCAATTACTGGGCACTAGTTATTGATGCAAATTGAAAGCAATATGTACCAATTTCTCAATGGTTGCAGACTGTTAATGCATCCTAGTGATAGTTGAACAGGTAACAGTAGCTTTGGAGTATAGGCAGGGCAAAGTGTCTGCAGATCTATACCTCTCATCACCCTTCTGTTTGCCAAGACTGAGAATGCACATTCATTTCTGTCTCTGCTGGATCTTCTGGGTTGCTTGGTCCTTTTACATTGATCACCAGCTTAAGAATAGAAGGCTGTAAAAGAATCCAAGAACTTCCCTGCTTAAGGTGAAATCTTGGTATATTGGGAGAGGAATGCTGTAGAGTTTCAGGCAGTGGTAGCAAGGAATGCTGACTTTGTGATATTAATAGGAGTTATATCAGTTTTTCCATCATCTGTGAATAAATACACTAGGGTAGAGTTAACTTCTGATGCAAGTAAAGCACACTTGCAATAATATTTTTTAGATGAGTTTACATTTATGCAGCAATATCACAAATCTCCTAGCTTAGGAGAAAAAGGCATCTTTCATGAATTTAATGAGATCTAAATGAGAGATAGAGTCCAAGAGGAAGAAGTATTGGTATATGGACATCTTCAGCCCCACAGATGGAAAAACACCAACCTATACCTGCCCCTCAACCTTGTCAGCATGATGCCCATGACTAAGTGGGATGGGAGAGTCCTAAAGGATAATAGATGCTGTGATGTGCAATGGGCAGCGTATTTCATGTACCCCTTTCTAAGTTGATAAATGTATTACCGTGTTTCCCTGAAAATAAGACCCTGCCTTATATTTTTTTGAACCCTGAAATAAGCGCTTGGCCTTATTGCCATGTGCTCAAAAGCCCGATTGGGTTTATTATCAGGGGATGTCTTATTTTGGGGAAAACAGGGTATTATAAAAAAATCTGAAGAAATATCTTTTAATTTTACATTTATGTTATGATATCATGCCTTTTTCAAGTGTAATTCAAATGAAATATCACATTGAAAAGTAACCCTAATCTTTCTGGATGTAAGTAACAAATGATCTTGATTGTTTTTTGGGAATCATTTGTTTGGCCCATAGCTAGAAATGTGTTTTCATTTCATTTCTGATGTAAGAGCAAAGTGTTCATAGCATGATGATAATTGCTGGAAAGATTGTGTGCAGTCCTTATCTGAAGAACAGGACAGGAAGGTTGGGAAACATTCTTTCATTTTGCATCAGTACAGGCCCTAGCATCATTGTCTCCTTAAGTGAATAATACTTGTCAAAGACAATACCAATCTTAGAAACAAGAGGATGCTTAGATGAGGAAGTTATCATAGTTCTCAAGCTCAAACAAGGCACAAATTTAAAAAAGAAAACCCTCACCTGGTTTTCAGCAGGCAATCGTGGCATGGAGGCAGCTCTTCCGTGACCCTCCATGGGTAAATACTGATCACTATCTGAGTAGCCATCTTTTGCCATCTCCCGCATCTCTACAGACTTAATTAGACAAGGAGGATATTAGGATCAGAAGTCATAAGAAACAAATAGAAGAAATGCTATTCTTTTCAACAGCTGGGAAATTGGGAGAAACAGAAATAATAAACTCCAAAGTAAATATTAGTTTATTAAAGAGATACTGCAAATTTTAAAAATTACTTAGTTGTTGCTAAATATTTTAAGTGTTTTTTCTAGCACAGCAGATTTCATTATTTCATTATTCTCTAGCTCTTCGAAAGTTTTCTACCCGGGGCCAGAAGGAATGAACATTTGTTTCCAATACATGCATCTCTATGTCCCAAAGAACTTTAAAGACAAAACCAAAACACTGAGACATTCTTGGAGCTCCCAGAATACAGCAGCATTTTATTGGTACAAGAAAAATTATCTCCAAAGTATTTCAGCAAAGGAACATATATAAGTAATACAGGTACTCTCGCTATCTTCTATTGATATGATGACATCTGGAAAAGCCCTTAGACTACATGGGATAATTATAGACTGGTATAAAAAAATTAAGAAGCGTGTTCTATACATCTGGGGATATTTTAGGTTTTTTCCTCTCACAAATAAACTACTGCTAGTATTATATATATTAAGCTTACATCATTGAAATTATGAAGTCTGTTATTTATTTATTTATTTATTTATTTATTTATTTATTGAATTTCTATACCGCCCTGTTGCTAAGATTTTGCAGCTACATTTGTGAGATTTCAGTAGTTATTACCTGCATATATGGTATATATGACTTCTATTTGATATGATAATTTTGTATGCAGATAAGATTCATCTACATATACTGCTAGCTTCCTTGGATGTGAAAAAGCTTTTCATATGGGTCTAATCAAACTTATGTCTAAGTTTACATTTCCTATATAATTTATTTCTTTTATTATAATTAACTACCTTAATATATCCACTCATATTAACTGGCAATGTGGTTACTTTAGTAGTGCTTAAAATGCCCCAGGGAATTTGTTAGAAATGTTCTAATAAAGGAGAATATTTATAGCTGAGGGTTGAAATGAGGGGTCCTTGCTGCTTTCTGAGCTTGGTTGTTTTTAGGATTAGAACTGATGATGTTACCTAGTTTAGGTAACAAAACTCCTGCAAGAAAACAGCCAAGCTCAGAGAGCACCAAGGACCCCTCAGTAGGAATGTTCCTCAATTCCATTAATTTTTAATTTTGTGTTATAAACTTTGGTATGGCAAGTAAGACAATCTGATGAAATTAAAGAAATTAGCTTAGCTGAATATCAATAAAGTGGTATTTTATGGAGATTATGTTTTGTTTCCCCCCCCCAATGTTTACTATCTTTATGTAAATACTACTAAATTTGTAAAAGTTAGTAGTACAAAAAATTGGAGTAAATCAAATATGATGCCAGTGACTAGAAAAGTCCAAAAGATTGTAGAGAGAATTGAGTTGTATATAATTGTCCAATAGCTACTACTTTCCCTAGGAAAATAACAACTCAATCCTCTCCCAGACATAAGCAATCTGTAAGGTCTTGTAAGGACCTGACAAAATCAGTAATATATACAGATAGTCCTTGACCTGCTACCGATCACTTAGTGACTGTTTGAAGTTATGACAGACCTCCCAAGGGCTACTTAGGAATTCGAAGTGCTGATCGAAGTCATGTGATTGCATTTTGGGTATTTGGCAACTGGCCCACATTTATGGCTGTTTGAACATGCTGCAATCATGTGATTGTAATTTATGACTTTTTTGCCAGAAGCCCATTGCAGACAAGGGATTTATATAACAACCATAGTGTTCACTGAATGACCATGGCATTTGCTTTACAATGACTTATAGTCTTAAAAATCAGTCTTCACGTAGTGACTGTTTAACAACCAACTTGACTTAAGACTATATAATTGCAGGCTCAATCATGGTTGAAAATTGAGGAATACTTGTATGTGGGATGACACATTAATGCAGAATGTTGGCTGTGAGACAACTTTAGCATAAGAGGTAAATAGATGTTAATAGCCATCATTATTATCAAATGTATCTTACATTTGCTAATATATTCCCTTTGAATCAATTAATCACTACACATTATTATAGAACTTTTACTATATGCTGAACAAGACACATTAATACAAATGTTTGGAAATAGTTAATGGATTAAGACTGGAGGATAGGACTGCCTTATTACCTCAAGCAGGAGATACTGAGCATAAGTGAAATTTACATATACATGCACATCAGTGGTGAAATGCTACTGGTTCGGGTGAACCGTTAGTAAAAAAAAGCTACCAGTATGTTTGAACTGGTATTTCCAACGATCAGCTGTGCTGCATGATTTATATTCAGTAGAAAGCAGGAAATTCTGCTTTCTAGCAATTCTAAATCGTGTGGCACAGCTGTTCCCCTCTCGCTGTTCTACTTACCTTGTTAAGCCTCCTTTTTCTGTGCGAAGCGCGCATTTGGTGCGCAGTGCATGTGCGCATGTGCAGTGTATGTTTGGCATGTATTGTGTGTGTGCAGCGTGCTTTTGGCACACTGCATGCGTGTACAGCATGCTTTTGGCACACACTGCATGCGAGCGCACAGTGTACTTTTGGCATGCACAGCACATGCATGCGTGCATTGTGCTCTTGGCATGCACCGTGCATGCACGCATGCATTGTGCTTTTGGCGTGCATCAAGCATGCACGCACTCAGGCAGTGAACCGGTGGCAATCCGTGGAGGATTTCACCACTGATGCACACGTAATTTCTCAGAATAAAACTTGTGAAATGCACACAGTTTGAGTATTGTGCTTGTGAAGGTCTGTTTTATTTTTGAAGCTCTATTAAAACACAAATGAGATGAATTCATACAATATTAGACAAGTGAAAGGAAAAAATGAACAGTCTGCTTTCACCACAAATACAGTTTGCAACTCAACGTATACTTATTGTATTGTGCTATCAAAGTTTCATAAAGTAGTTAGAATGATGATACAATAAACTGCGGTTATGTGTCACTCAAATAAATACTTAATCCATATTTGCTTAATCAATTTCTATCTTTTGGTCCTATGATCTGATGGAATATAGAACTTCTCACTGTAAACAAAACTTTTCTGAAAAATTCTGCTATACAGCTGGCTTTACAGATGCATGATTGGCAGGGACAAGAAAAAGAAAGAGTAGAGATAGATAACTGCCAGTTCAAACACCTTGCTGGCATACAAACCACCTGGGAATTGGTCCGGCTATTGGGTATTTCCTCTAAGCGCCCCCGCTCTGGGCTCCAGGTTCCTGTCTTCTGGAACATCTCCTGTGCTCTTTGTGTGACCCATGATTCACTTTCCTTTATTCCTCCTTCCTGTATACTCCTGGAAATAGATAGAAAAAGTCACATTCCAACCATACATCTTCCGAACTGTAATGAATCTATGTGCAGAATCACAATCTGTTTATCTGTCCATTCCCCAACCATTTATAACTCATGTGTAAATAAAATACAAACACCTTTAAGTTGCCCTTACTTTTCTAGATCTGTGTTGATATTCCAGCAATATAAGTGGCTCTATTTATACTGCTAAAAGATGACCATTGTGGTCTCCAGTGTATTGTACCATATCATCTTCACCAAAAAGGCTGGAAGACTGGGGAGGGGCATAGCAAGACTTGCTGAAATGGGAAACTGACTATCTTTATTGACTACAAAAGTGCATCTCTGAGTTTCTTGATGTTAATAGTAATGTGATTGTGGTGATAACATTGTGTCAGCTGCCATGCCCTATGTGGCTTTTGAAGGCTAAGTAAATGAAAATGTAGCTCTCAGTTACAAAAGAGCTCCCAGTCTCTAGCCTACAGTGATTGGTAATGTCTTTACAGAATTTCATATTGTCATCTGTCAAGTCCTTTTTGTAGATGTCATTGATGGAATATTTTGTCCTCAAAGTAGGGCACAGATTTACTGACTATGATCCTGTTTCCAATGACAGAATTAACCATTCATTGAATTTCTAATGCACTAGTAGTAGCAATGGTTCAGTAAATGCATCATCTGAAGTACTTGTTTCTGTATGGATGGAACTGTCCTATATAAACTAGGACTCACATTCCCCCTCCTTGATCCAATTGAGAGGAAGGAAGGGCATTTTGTCCTTGACCACCTTCTTGGGATGGAGAAGGTGGTTCCATGCGCTGGAACATAAGTGGTGTCCGATTCTAAAGGGAACAGGATGATACAAATATTAAAAAAACTTGGAGATATTTTCTAATCTAGACATCATCAGATCACCTTTTTTTTCTTCAGTAAATTTCCGATCACTTGAAAAACTGTTAGAACAAATGATTTACTGTTTGCCTTCCAACTTTGTAAACTTGAGAATATGAAAATAATAGTTCTAAGCAGATTTTACTCATAAATTGGAAAAAGGAAATCACAATTATTATTATGTCATAATTTCAAACAGTCACTAGAAAGAACAACTTTTAAATTATTTTTTTATTGTGCATCTCTGTTGATGGAGTTTCTTGGCTCTCTAAAACATTTAATTAAAGACGGATATAAAATTATATGGATTTGCACACACACATACACACATACACACACATGCATACGCACAAGTGATGGAATTTCCTACCCAGGCTGTAGCACTTTGTGAAATGTAATTTGGTCCACCATGAACCTGTCCAAGATTTGTTGTACTCCAGAAATGCTTAATTAATTGCATTTAATGAGTTGAATTGTAACCTAACATGTGTAAATAATTAATTAGGAGTAATCACTGTAGAAAAACATTACCTTCTTTTTAAAATTTTAAGATTATTTTTAAAATACACATGATTTGCTGTAAACAGAAAGCATAAAAAAATCATTCACCAACATTTTCAGATTTGGGAACGGTGGCATATTTTTTTTTACATTTACAGTTTTCACATACCTGCTCCTCCCGCATGGCCTGCAGCTTCTTAGCCTTACTCTGGCGGTAATACTCCATGATCATCATGGCTGCATAGATTTTCCCCACTGTCAAGTCAGTAGCTGCAAAATAAAAGAAACAAATAAAAATGAAAAACATCACCCTCCAGCTTAGTGCTACAAATTGGCAATTCTCCAGTCTTTAGATTCAAATTATTTGACCAGTGGCACTCTCTCAACTAGTTCTATATAGGGATACTACACCAGTTGTCCCAATGGCTATTTGGAAGGGAAAGGAAAGTCCAGTTATTCAGACTTCGAATATAAACCATCACATAATGAGGTGCAGTACAATATAGCCTTGAATAGTAAATCTAATAGGAATATTTTATGAAACAGTAAACTGCAGGGATTTGTTCCTAGAAGTCACGAGTAGGGGAGGGAGGAGGAGGAGGAAGAGGAAGAGGAAGAGGAAGAGGAAGAAGAAGAAGACTTTATATTCTGATCTGTTATAACAATTTTATGCTTTGCAACAACATACAAAGTCCTGCTT